CAGACCTGCTTGCTTATTTGAAATTTAGCATTTCAGAGTCTGCTAAAGCAGAAGTCGTATAGTAACCATAAAACATCCTTGTTGACGATAGAAAATAACAGAGGTTTTCTTTGTGTTTCATTTGTGCCTTTGTAATAGTCAAGTAATTTTGGAACAAAAATTATTCCTATCACAAAACAAGTTATAAAATTTAATCCTAAACCAGTAAAAGCCACATCCTTCAGTAGAATGTTGACTGTGAGCAGCATGAGATTTTAATGAGCCAATGAATTTTCTTCTCTTGCCTTGTTTTTAATTATTATTATTATTATTGTTGTTTTTACCCTTACAGACAAGCACTGATTTGGTACAGCCGGTATGTAAATATCCAGAATATTCTGGATTTTTTTTGTATTTAATGTACATTATATACATGGTATATTATCTAGAATGAACTTTCTTCCCATGGCATTGCTAGTTATAGATTTAACGTTAAGCCAATTAAATTAAATGCTTTCTAGTTTTGCTTAACTGGTGCTACCCTACTGAAGAACTTTGTGTTTCTCATCAGATCTTATCATGGTGTATTTCATCTTATGTTTTTTTTTTTTTTCTTTGCTCTTCTGCATACTTTAAAGACTGACTCTTCTAAAAGTCTTTCCCTGTGTAACCTGATCATGGAGGAAACTCCAGACAGTGGGTTGGCCGAAGAAATTCAAAGATCTCAAATTGATATAGGTGCATTTACTTGGGGCCCTGATGCTAGTACAGAGAGTTTCAGCCAGGAAATCACCCCAGGAGGGTCTCTTGAAGACTCTGCATGTCTCTCTGAAGCAGAGCAAGACATGAGATTATCCACTGGAATGCCTCCTGCTGCTGACTGGCCTGCTGTGGCTGAGTGGGGTGAGCCTGTCCTGGGGCCATCCGCTCCAACCAGCAATGAACAGCTGTCCCTAGAGCCCTTGCCTGAGGCTGGCGTTGCCACTACTGCTTGTGTGGAGATGGAGCAGCCATATGACTTGCTTGACTCAGATGTGGCAGCCATGGAGACAGCTGGCTTGCTCAAAGACAGTCATGAAAATGTTAAAAAGTCAGATGAAGAGGAAGAGAAACAGAAGATAGAAGACACTATGTGGGCAAGTGTGGAGACATGTCAAAAGGTAGACACTGGAGCTATGGATATCACGGCACTAGAAAGTACAGAGGAATTTGAAGGGAAAGTATGTGAAAGTACAGGAAACACTGTAGTAGATCTTCTTAGGACAATAGGAAAGCAAGACAGGGAGACCTTAAAAAGTAATGAAGGCGAAACTAGGAAAGATCTAAGAGCAAGGTGTAAGGAAAGTATAAAAAACAATGAAAATTATTTTGAGAAAACAGACCCATTACAGAAAGACATGGAAAAAGTAGATATGGCAGATGAAGTTAGTGACAGAACTCACAGGCTACAGGATGGGATTCAAGTAGTAGTCAGTAATCATGAAACTATAGAGGGCTCTGGGGCTAAACCTGCCAATCACAGAGATATTTTGAATCCGCCACTCCAAATCAACGTTGTATCTAATATCGAAGATGACAGCTCTGAGGGATGGGATTTAGCTAGAAAAGACGTAAAGAAAAATTTAATAGATCCTCCCAACCATGATATAATATATCACCCAGCACAGAGCAGTGCAGATGCTGAAGAAATCCGATGTGAGACTGTGTTAAATGCTCCTGGAGGTGACAGGGGTACAAATCAGGCTGCTGTTTTATATGATATAATATATCACCCAGCACAGAGCAGTGCAGATGCTGAAGAAATCCAATGTGAGACTGTGTTAAATGCTCCTGGAGGTGACAGGGGTACAAATCAGGCTGCTGTTTTATCAATGAAATGTGAAGTGGCAGCCCAATCTAGTATTGACCTTGATTATTCTCTGGGAACTAATGCAAACAGAAGAGATTGGTGTTCATGTAAGGCAGAAGATTGGTTAATAGAGAGGTCTGAAAGTACAATGACTGGGCACTGTAGTCATACCATTAACTTGCCAGGACTTGCTAAAACAGACCCTTGGAGAACATATGCAGGTCAAGTCTGCCAGCCAAATGTGGGTTCAGCAGTGAATAATAAGGATATAGCAGGATTCTCTGGTATACCAGATGGCCAAGCAAGTGGATCTGCCAGTTGGCTGGATTCTTGTAACCACTGGCCTATCAGAGATATGGGAGGCTTAGATGATTGCTTGGATCATTTAGATACAGTTGAGAGCAGGAAAGAACTTGAGGCAGACTTACCAGCAGGTGTGTTTGGGGAACGAGCCATTGCTAGCTGCTGGAAACAAAGCCAGGAGAGAGCTAGACCATTGGTTCTGGAAACCTTCTGGAACACTAGCACTGAGAGTTCTGCTAGTTCCCAAGATAATGACATCAGCAACTCAGATTTATCTGAAGATGAAATTGCTAACCAGAGATATGGATTGTTGTACCAAGGAATTGAGGCTGACGAAGACGAGGTACTTACCCCAGTACGTAGCATAGACTAGCCAAAGACTTCC